CAGTACAACATTATCACTAAAATAGACAATATAAATATAATACAGGTACAAACATTATCACTAAAATAGACAATATAAATATAATACAAGTACAAACATTATCACTAGAATAGACATTATAAATATAATACAAGTACAAACATTATCACTAGAATAGACATTATAAATATAATACAAGTACAAACATTATCACTAAAATAGACAATATAAATATAATACAAGTACAAACATTATCACTAAAATAGACAATATAAATATAATCCAAGTACAAATGTTATCACTAAAATAGACATTATAAATATAATACATGTACAAACATTATCACTAAAATAGACAATATAAATATAATACAAGTACAAACATTATCACTAGAATAGACAATATAAATATAATACAAGTACAAATATTATCACTAAAATAGACAATATAAATATAATACAAGTACAAACATTATCACTAGAATAGACAATATAAATATAATACAAGTACAAATATTATCACTAAAATAGACATTATAAATACAATTCAAGCACAAACACTAGAATAGACAATATAATTATAATACAAGTACAAATATTATCACTAAAATAGACAATATAAATTTATAATTCAAGTACAAACATTATCACTAGAATAGGCAATATAAATATAATACAAGTACAAACATTATCACGAAAATAGACAATATAAATATAATACAAGTACAAACATTATCACTAGAATAGACAATATAAATATAATACAAGTACAAATATTATCACTAAAATAGACAATATAAATACAATTCAAGTACAAACATTATCACTAAAATAGACATTATAAATACAATTCAAGTACAAACACTAGAATAGACAATATAATTATTATCCATGTACAAACATCATCACTAAAATAGTACGGTACAAATATTATCACTTATTGTTTGTACAGTTTTGTATTCCAATTGGAATAAGGATTGAATGCGTGACATATATGTCATATGTAATTAAATGCCAATTTCATGCTTACCCAGGTTTTTCTATTTTCTAAAATTCAAACATAACATGCAATCTCTTTATAGCAACATATACATTTACATATCACTCCTATGTGGTATGTAAATAAACATAATTCAACAATTCCACAGCGAGTGCATCAAATCAAAAAGGGTCGAATATTTTATTGGCTTATTTTATCAACAGTAATTATTCATTTGGCAAAACAGTGTCATTGCTTAGAATAATTGGAATCGCATGGAGTATGAAAACAATATAAATGGCTACTGAGAATTGAAATAAACTGGAAATAAGATGGAAACTCACCAGGATAAGGTTCTGTATAATATCTGAACACAAAACCATCATTTTCTTCAAAACTATTCGTTTTAAATGTTACATTAACTCTTGAATCATTTAATGCAACCACATGTTTTGATTTATGACCACATGTTAGGAAATTCGTATTATCTAAAATGAATTTTGAAATTTTAATCCAAAAATGTATAATATCACACATTGTATTTTTGAAGAAAAGGCCATTTGATTTAATTAAAGTAAAACTCAGTCGCATCAGTCTGGAAGTCTACGTTGATGAAAGATGCATTCTTATCTACAAGTTTATTTAGTTGAGCTGAAAGAAAGTATTATAGCGACAAATCTTTTAGTAACTGTAAGTTTCCGTTGAAGAAAAGATGTACATCCCTTACAATATCTAGATTGATCTACATCCCTTACAATATCTAGATTGATCTACATCCCTTACAATATCTAGATTGATTTACATCCCTTACAATATCTAGATTGATCTACACCCTTACAATATCTAGATTGATCTACATCCCTTACAATATCTAGATTGATCTACATCCCTTACAATATCTAGATTGATCTAAATCCCTTACAATACCTAAATTGATCTACATCCCTTACAATATCTAGATTGATCTACATTCCTTACAATATCTAGCTTGATCTACATCCCCTACAAAATCTAGATTGATCTACATCCCTTACAATATCAAGATTGATCTAAATCCCTTACAATATCTAGATTGATCTACATCCCTTACAATATCTAGATTGATTTACATCCCTTACAATATCTAGATTGATCTACACACCTTACAATATCTAGATTGATTTACATCCCTTACAATATCTAGATTGATTTACATCCCTTCCAGTATCTAGATTGATTTACATCCTTACAATATCTAGATTGATCTAAATCCCTTATAATATTTAGATTGATTTACATCCCTTACAATATCGAGATATATCTATATCCTTTTCAATATCTAGATTGATCTACATCCCTTACAGTATCTAGAATAATCTACATCAATTACAATATCTAGATTGATCTACATTCCTTACAATATTAGATTGATCTACATCCCTTCCAGTATCTAGATTGATCAACACCCCTTACAGTATCTAGATTGATCTACATCACTTACAGATTGATTAATTTACATCCCTTCCAGTATCTAGATTGATTTACACCCCTTACAGTATCTAGATTGATTCACACCCCCTACAGTATCTAGATTGATCTACATCCCTTACAATTCTAAATTGATCTGCATCCCTTACAGTATTTAGGTTGATCTACATCCATCCATTTCAGTGTCTAGATTGATATACTATACTTACCTTACAATATCTGCATAGGTCTACGTCCCTTACAATATCTAGATTGATCTACATCACATACATTATTCAGACTGACCTACAACCTTACAATATCTATTTTTGATCTACATACATTACAATATTATCTAGATTGATCTACATACCTTACAATATAGAGTGATCTACATCCATTAAAATATCTACAGTGATCTATAACCATTACAATATCTAGATTGATCTACATATCTTACAATATTAACTTACCTCCTTTTACTTGTATAAAATCATTTTGACATTGCACATTATCTTCTAAATTCAGCATTAGAAATTCTAACATAATTCTTTTTTTAGGATCATTTGCAGTCAACATCCAATCCACGTCTAAATCCCTATAATAGAAATAAAATTAGGTTATAATAGGCAGAAATGACCCTTCATACGACTGATTAATAACATTTTTCAACCCATTTTCAAGAGCTCAGAGGTAACGGTAAGCAGTCATGTTTTACTTTATCCGGGTCTCTCATCCACCTGACTGCCGTAGATAATTTGTTGAAAGATTTTTACGCTCACTTGACAGTTTAATTCATCATAGGTTACCTATCTCTTATAAGTTTGAACGCATTTTTTATTAAAAAAAACTCGATCTAATCTAGCGGATCATTCGACGTGTTGATTACAGATTTTGTTTTGACAGCAATGCCACCATAATATTTCTACGAAGGGTAATTGAAAGAAATGTGGTTGGCCTAATCGAGTCTTTAGTGATACAGTTAACCCTTGCTTAAATCTACCCAGATTAAGACTTTGACTTACTTGTAATACTTATCAGGATAACCTGGAGAATACATGTACATTGGTGTTGCGCTTACATTTAATTTACGTATTTCTGGCGTGTGCTGGTCCGCTATGAAAATAACCAATTATACAGTTCCAATATTCCGTTATTGTTTCGGATTCAAAATTAAAAGGTAACAAAATTACAGTTACATTATGATACAGATGGAACAATAAGTTACAGTTTCAGATAGTTTAAAGAGTATTACAACTATAATCATATTCAAAAGGATGCAATAACAGATTGTTATAAATACATAAACAATTACAGTTGGATAAGTTATAATGATATATAATATTCCTTACTTACAAAGCAGTGCAAGTTAGCAATGAAAGATGATCACCGTAAGTTACACTAACAATATGATCACAGTTTGTAATAATATGGACTTACTTTTTCTAATGATAATTCTAACAGGTTTCTTGCTAGGTTTCAGCCAAGAGTACACAATATTGATGTAATCTGTATAGTGCAATTGTAGCTCTTTAGGATAAGATGTTCCACAGAATGTCATAGATTTGGTTGGGTTATAATCTGAAAGTTAAAAGAAAATCATCTATTGCACGGCTTATTCTTAGAGTCCAGATCGATCGATATCCTTTACTTCGTCTAGATTGATCTACATTAATTTCAATTTCCAGATTTACATCCCTTACAATATCTAGATTGATTTACATCCCTTACAATATCTAGATTGATCTACATCCCTTACAATATCTAGATTGATTTACATCCCTTAAAATATCTAGATTGATTTACATCCCTTACAATATCTAGATTGATTTACATCCCTTACGATATCTAGATTGATTTACATCCCTTACAATATCTAGATTGATCTACATTCCTTACAATATCTAGATTGATTTACATCCCTTACAATATCAAGATTGATCTACATCCCTTACAATATCTAGATTGATTTACATCCCTTACAGTATCTAGATTGATCTACATCCCTTCCAGTATCTAGATTGATAATCTGTTTAGAAAATAATAACTTTCTTGATAAAAAAATAATTCAAATTTTACCTGGAAACTCGATTTGTAAAGACTCTAAGTTACAATTCACAGAATCAAACATATTAAATTCTTCAAAAATAATACGAAATGAACCATTACCAATTCGCCAATGACAATTCTGATTTCTAAAAATATAAAAGTAGAAAGGTGCACAATTTCATCAATTGCTCTAGCAGCATTGTGATTGACACAAACAAGGTTATAGTAAAACTTTGAAAATTTAAAATATTCTTGTCAAAATATTTATACATTTATAGCCTATATCATGATGTTCAATAAAACATATGATATACAGAATCAAAAAAAGGAAATAAAGACATTATATTACATTTTATCTTCTGTTCTNGTATCAGGAAGATTAAGGATAACTGCTTCATTGTCATAGATTAGTTCTTTATCCATTTTGTATGTTTCCTTACATTTTAAATATCTTTCACCATACCCTATAAACCATAAAATATACGTTTTATAACATAGATTTTTTTTTAAATCCAGACGTGTATTTGTCACGAATAGCAGTTTACAGGAATCCCCTTTTTACGGCTATCAATACAAATTAAGGCCTGTTAATTAAAGATATACTACCTCTTCGGTTGACCAAAAAATTTGATTTTTGAACTTGGTTAAAATGAGTCTTTGTTCATCAGTGGATAATCCATAAGCTATTAAACGAAGTTATTTTGAAACATGCTTCTATATCGTCTTATATAGAGATTATTTTCTTTAGTTTTGGCCCCTGGTCAGTCCAACTGATAAATATATATGTTTGTGAACTAAGTTTGTGAATTTTATGTCCATTTTAAGACGCAGTATTTCTTGTAAAAGATACAGATACAGATATAGTTTTAGTTTATTTGGACTTGTGAAGAATGTACTCACCATAACTCAATAAGGCCCACAAAAATATACAATATAAACCATTCATTTTCAAACTTATCAATTAATACTTTTTTCTGAAAACAAACAAAATATATAAATTATCCTTACATAGAATATTCATTGTGATATCACCAAATACAACCTGTCGAAATAGGTTATTTAAATATCCTTTTGGTTGGTAGAACTATTTATAACAGTGGTTTTCAACCCGTTTTTGTATTAGTTCCAAATCGAACAGCATGAAAATGATGTCCCCAGATATCGAAAGCGTATCTATGATTGGATACCAGGCACGTTCTCACATAGTTTGATAGTAATAATTCTCTGAGTACTCCTAGACAATGTTAATTTAGGCTGTGTATAGTGTAGTCATCATATGAGATGTACTGTATATTATATTGTAGTTTGAAAGTTTATATTTTTCATAGCATGTGACTGGCTGTGACACAAGGTACAAATGTCCCCACCTTGCAATTGAAAACCTACGATTTATAACACCACGAATAGAACTATTAAATGCATGATATTCTACTAATTTACATAATTATTTAAGATTGATTACACGATTGAGTGAGCATTGAGAGAAATTTTGCAACTGTCGAGGTTTTTTTAAAGTGTATAGCTGGAACACTTTGTTATGTTCTGATTTTAACTTATGTCATATCCCCTTTGACTTGCTTTGTGAAAGAAACTATATTGAATTTATAGAATGAAATTCATTTTCAATTGATTTAATGCATGTATGTGTATATTAAATTTGGCCATTTCTTTAACCTTCAGTCACACTCACTCTTGAGTGTTTCTACAGCTATTTGATAAGGTTCTTCTTTGAGTGATAAAAAAACACCGACGTTTCATCAAAATCAGCCTAGAACTATGTGAATCTGTGCTAGTGACATTTTTTAAGTTTTAAAAGGGCAATAACTCAAACTAAAGTCTTTTTTTGTAAGATGGAAAAACGATCTAGACTAAACTTAAATCTAGGTTTTATGTGTATTGGGACGCTTTTAGCATCAATTTAAATCTTTCCAATTCTTAATAAGACGTCTGTGGTTCCTGCATTTGCACTAAAACTAAGTGTTTGATGTCGTCACTAATCATAAAATATGCTTTTTCACATACGGCCCTCCGCAATTAGTGACGTCATAAAACACTAATTTTAAGTGGAATTGCAGAAACCACAGACATTAGACTCCAAATTGGAATGCTGCAAATTGGTGCTATCAGTGTCCCCGATACACAATTTTTTTTCTTCAGAAAACCTAGTTAAATCATTTTCAGGTAAACCTTTTTTTGTGTTGGAAACTTATAATGGATTAGCAAAATAAAGGCCAAATTGGATAGAAATATGTCTCATACTCATTCTGAAGGTTGTTTACGAGGCTATAACTTAACACCTTCGAATAACAAGGCAAAAATATATAAATCATTGAAACGATGGCAGCCATATATTAAAAGAAATTTGGTAAATCCTTTTTTCAAATATACGAAATGTAAGTTTTTGAAGAACCAATAAAAGAAATAATACCTAATCGCCGATGACAAAAGCTGTAAGAATTTATTCTATAATAGCTGTTTGCTTTCAAACCTTGAAATCACTTATGGAGAAAATATTTGTCCTGCTTAAGAATGTAGGCCTTCCTTTAAGAATGTCATAGTTCATAGGACTACTCGTCCTAATAGAAGTGGATTATCGAATGGCTTTACTAACACAAATAAATGTATGTAACTCTAAATGTTAAATTTGATTTAAATTCGAGTTATTGACCTTTTTATGAAGTACTAAATGTACGACCTTTACCAACATAGAACAACTTACCTATTTATGTGAACATTGTAGTATAATCATCCCATATCATTTCTTACATATTATCCTTGTATATCCATACCTTTATTGACAAATTACGCATTACCTATGTTGTCCCATAAAAAATATGTCCTGTTTCATTTGAATTACTTTTATTTCCTTGAGAGTCATTCAAATGTAGTAGTCTCGATCAAATGAATCACCTACTTGTCCCTTGAATGTTATTATGTCCAATTTCGCAACAAGGGCCTTTACCGACCTATCGTAGCGTACTGTAAAATATTGCTATTCATGTGTTAACTGTATGTTATATTCTATATACAACATACAGTTTAAAAATGAATAGCAATATTTTTAACCTTGTTATTCTAGTATAAATAACTAGGATACGTTGATCTTTGTAGGTCGATAAAGGCCCTTGTTGCGCAATTTGACATGATAACATTCAAGGGACAGATAGGTTATTATTTTTTCACAAATAATACTCGAATCTCAGAAACTGATTTTTCTTTAGGTAAGCCAATCAGTAATAGTGAATGTTAAAATGTAGGTAAAATTTCGAACTTTTTTTAAAGGAATTATGCGATTTTCGTACTTTTCTAGTACGTCTGAAGGCAATTTACATATATTCATGATTAAAATCAACCTCCCAAAATGGCGCACTTGTCCTTTTAATTCCTTAGATTAAATGGGAATATCAGGAGATAGCCACTAAAGGAAGAAACTTTAAAGAGAGCTCTTAATACAAAATAGTCAAAATTAACCGGCTGGAAATTTTTGTTTGCGTGGGTATTTTCCGACACCTATAAAGCAGCTGTTGTTTAATCTTACTCAATTATCGTAAGCCGAACAACGTCTTTAAATACGTGTAGCCTATCATATTATCTATTTAGTATCTATGGAAGTCTCTACCCAGGATAGCAGAGTACAAAGTAACGAAAACAGCCCTAAGACTAGAGAAAGTGGGCAAAAAAGGCGAGATGCAGGGGAAACTGGACGAGAAAGTAAAAATAGAATGGGTATCAGGGACACCGAAAGCATCAATTTGCAATCAGACGTTTGTGGTTTCTACAATTTCACTAAAACTAAGTGTTGATGACATAACTAATCGCAAAATATTCTTTATCCTAGAGGACTTACCGAGTTTTAGTAGAATTGCAGGAATCACAGAGAAAATAAAAATGGGGCAAATTGTTGCTATCAGTGTCCCCGATACACATACAGAATTTAGAAAACTTCTTTACTATCCTTTTAAATAGACACAGGACAGACTAAATTTTTATTTAATACACACACATCTTATACTAACCAGAAGTTGTTTTATATCGCAAAACTGACCGACTGCCAATATAAATGCGATCTATCCAGATGGGCCCAGATTCCGACTGATCAGATAGAAGACACGATGTGATTTTAGCTTGAAAAAAGTCAAATGTGGAAAGTGCGATTTTTCAGGGCAATTAAATCTGTCGATTGAGCAGATTTCTCGAGATATTATCGTCAGTTACTTATAACAATCGTTGATTTTTGAAATTGCATTTTCTTTCGATTTTGTGAGAATATGAGAGATTTTCATGTGACAGAATAATTTTAAATATAGACGTTTTGTGTGCAGTGACAGTCATGCGGATGTTGATAAAATGTAGTGGTCTACTTTCAGTTTGGCTTGCTCAATATTTTCATGGTCATGATATATAGTGAATTTTTGTCCAGAAACGTATTGAAGGTTGAATTTCGTGATTTAACATAGAAACAGATGCCAAATTGATTTTTTGCAGTCACTGGAACGGTTTTATTTTATTTTGACAATTGAAATTGACGTAATTGTATTTATTGCAAAATATGCTTGAGTAAAGGAAACCATATTTTAATATCAAAACTGTGTTGTTTATTATTAAGATGCCAAGTCAACTGTAGAACTTTAAAAAAAATCAATTTATATCTTGACAAATCTGCTCCTCCATTTTCACCGTTCGCATTTCCTTGTCGTCTGAGATTGCCACAAAAATAGTTTCATTTATTGATAATATTCAAATTTAATAAATAAAGACCATGATGTTCAAAACAATGTGTAAAGTGCCAATATATTTAATTTCATAGATAGAAACTACTTCAGAATTAAAAGCAGTTCAAACTCTGGTTATCCGTTATCACCTTTGTTAAAGTAAATGAAAACCAAGGACGTGACCAATTATTCGCCAATAGACCTATAATTCATTATTAGAACGATATAGACACAATTGTGTTCAGCCTATTTGATGCAGAGGCATGCCCAATTGTACAGTTTTAGAACAGATTGAACTGATCACGAGTTATCTCACAGTGAACAAATTATCATCTGCTATGTATATATACAACATTTGAAATACCAAAACAAAAGTTGTAAATTATTATAGATCAATTTGAATTAAAATTTGTATGTTTTATCCTAAGAAAAAGAAGCTGAGAAATATTTCTACTGCTAAACTAATAGGGCTACTTAATGCACTAATATCAAAACAAAGTTAGAATGAGTTTGGTACTTATAAGAACTTCACAACGTGAATCAAAAATATCAAACTACTAAAAAGATCTACCGCCGGAATAGTTTAATAGCCAAATGCAGTTCTGGGTGCAGTCATTTATCTTATAATGGTAATTTGGGTCTGTTGTCTAGAGATATTAAGCAGCCAATAAGGTCATCTCTGTATAAATGACCGTATCGCCTTGGAAACCAGCATTCCAAAATGCACCCCGTTCTGTTCTATATTCAGCAATATTACCATTAGCATTACAAGCACTACAGTTGGCATCAAACCACCATCCGGACTGGAAGGCTGCAGCACAGCCTGATTGATCCGGAGTACTGAACTTTGTGTTGTTCAGTGCGGAGAGACAGTCTCCTAATGGCCATGGATACACCTCATCTGCCGTGTCAATAATAAGTTGAAATCCCGATGCAGAATTCGAAATCTTGAAATTATGGTAGATAATGGTCTTGTTGTTATATTCAGGTTTTGCATGGATATTGATATGTAGGTCGTAGTTCCGACTGTTAGTAATTTCAAAAACTCGTTGCAGACCAAGCCAATGATTTTTGTTCAAATCACCAAAACCATCGACATATTCCTGCCAAGATTTATTGAATGATTCAGTTGCTTGCCAAATCGAATTTTTCTGAAGGAAAGTTTTCCCTGACACCATGTAACAGTGTACTTGGAAAGGACTGGCAGACAGTTTTGGTTTTATCCAAAATGTGTCATGTTCATCTTCATAAAACCCAGATTCATAACCTTCTGAGCAATCTGAAATTAAAAGTAAGACATCATTAGCAGTCATATTCTTATTTATATTGACGTTAGTGGTCCCTATTTGACAAAAAATTCAGCTCTATATTTGTCATCACCAAACATAGTCTGACGGAATTCTTCTATATTTGTTGCATGAAGAAGTTTGCTCCATTTAGAGCATAGAATTTGTCATTATCCATGCTATGTATGAACAACTATGGACTGATTGAATAACCTCTGATTTTGTAAGTCTTCAAACTTTTCACTTACTGTTCATTGAGCGCAAGTGATTGCAAAGGATGTACAAATGACGAAAAATCTAGATTAATCAACATTGTATAAAATTGATTTCGAGATAAAAAAAAAGATACACATTATACCTCCCATGAGCCTCTCACACCGTTTTCCAACATAACTATCTCTACAGTTACATTTATCATCTTTTTTAAATCCGTGTTCACAGACCAATTCTTCGTGCTGAATCAGAAAAAATAGCTTTCCAGGCAAAGTAACATACGCCCACTACCAGCTGTCCGAAATGTAATCAAAGCCTTTAGTGACTTACTAATGATTTTCAAATAATCAAAAGGCACGGCAATACCTCAAGGTCTCATCGACGCACACACTGCGTCCATAAATCACTCATTTTCTCCCTTTCTATTCGAATCTGTAGTACGAAACCAAACACGAAAGATCTTGTTGGTCAAAAAGACTCTTTAATTTTTTAATGTTAACATACATTTCTTACTTACCATTTGAAAGAGTTGAAGATCACCCTCGGTACAGCCAGACTCGTTGATATGGACGTTACTGTTGAATAAGAGACATACGTTCTCGGACGATTTATAAGCCATGAACATACATTCAGACTCATGCTTACACTGCCGAGCACAATCTATATCCCAGTGTATGCCTTTTATTGTCTTGAATGGTTGTTCAGATGGAGAATCTAAACAAGGTTTGGTGAAGAACAGTGTGTTTCCCATAGTTATGGACACGACGGCTGAAAAAACGACAAAACTGTTAAAGCCCATTGCTGTATTGCTTTTCAGAATAAGTCCGAGTTTGGAATGGGAACTTTACCCGTCTTTCGATAACAAAGTATATTGATGTGTTAATGATCTTTCACTTTGTACAATCTAAACTGCATGCGATAGTCGATCTTCTTAATACAGTGGACTTCATCTTTCTTCAACATTTTTACATATTTATTGATATGGGTCGTCATTTACGTTTTTTTTGTTCATTTAGTCAAATCTTAAAATTTAGATAAATTAAGTACACTTCATGACGGCTGGCCTCATTAGAACGACGCAAAGAAAAAAGGTGGGACGTAAAATCCCTTTTCTTTTTTCTTGTTCGATCTAAGATGTCGATAAACTCATGCTTTTATCAAATATAGAATACTGCAATATAGTCTTAAAAAATTGGAACATCCAAGAACGATTCAAATTATGGTTTCGAATGAAAGTAGAGGGGGACAGGGTGGTAAAAACACCCCATTTGGAAAATGAAATGAACTGAATGGAGTTTTACTCTTCTGAACACTCTATTTGAAGATTGGCGACTGCGTTTTTGATGATCTCAATAAATGCTTCTCCTTTAAGTCTTGTTTTTTTCTATATTTAAGGTACGAAATTGGTGATGTAATGTTGGAGTTTATGTTTAGGTAGCGTAGTGTTCAAGTGTAATAGATTGTCACGTCATAAATCCTAACAATAAGTAAGATGCAATTAGAATACCTTGATTCGTCAAAAAACTAATGAAAGTTTCGAATGTCGTTTTATTTTGAATCGTAGAATTAAATAAATATTGATGTATGTTTCTTTTCGAGTTTAAACCACTTAATTTGAGAGCATTTTAATTGAAATTGAAAGGACAATATTTTTATGTTTGACTTTTTCGTCTATAGCCTCTTTCACAGAACGGGAATAAATCCCAAGTGTTCAAAAACACTACTTACAAAGTGAATGTAACTGCAATTTTATATACAACTGAAAAAATAATTTTTATTTGTAATCTTTTTTGTTTTGTGGTTCGTTCAAACTTATAATAAATGGTATTTTTGTGTTCAATAGCACATTTTTAGAGCCAATATTTGGAAATTGACGACCAATATATAGAGATGCGGAAATTCCCACAATCATTGTTCTTATATGAAATATGATGGTATTTCAAATGGTTTTAACAAACATTCAAACACATCGAATTTGCCAGACGTCCTTTCGATAAATTCCAACCATCGTCTTTTCAAATCAATTGTAAGATCACATTTAGATATGAGACGCAGAAAATTGGTTCAAAGCAAAATAGTATGAAAGGTACTTTGGTATTGTGACCATTATACTATCGGACCAATTTACCTTTTGACCGATTTGCGATGTGACCAATGTACCGTGTCTCGAATATCCAATATGAAAAATTTATTTTGTGATCAATCTACATCGTGACAAATAATTGTGACCAATGTGACATACTTGTTGCAAAGTGATCAATATGGATGGCCACGTTTTGTTTTCAGTCGCTCAACTATAGTGGGAGCCCGTTGACTTGAGTGGGTTGGTGCCCCTCCCCAGGGAATTAAATATATGATCTCTATAACTCAATTTAATGCCTGTTAATAGAATATTCAGTCTGTAGCTAATGCTATTTCACTCATTTATTTATTGCTGGTTTCCTTGTTTTATTATATTTATTATATCTTTCTGGTTGGGACTTCGTGGACTTAGTTCAACCAGTTCCTTTGATTGTTGAGCCACTGGTTACTTTGTGACGAATTTGCCTTATACTACATATTGCCCTCCAACCAATTTGCCTGTGTTCAGATTTCTGCATTCACAGACTGTTTCAGGTTCAGTTTAGGTGCATAGTTTATAGACAGTGGTAGTTTCCGTAAAGCTGAATCTGTCTCGGAAATGAAAGGTGGATTTCGTTACGTCTTCTTGAGCGAGACTCTTTACTTCTGGTATAATGCAATGATTTGTAATGTTGCGACCTAAATATAGTCCTTAAATTTAGAGTCTTTGGGGAATAAACCCGACTCTTACTTATGCATTTAATGTTATATTGTGACTATACTAATGGTTATCTAATGATACATTTTATTATCATTTTGAATCCATATCTTACAAATGTTTTGTTTTTATTGACTTTGTTTACGAACATTTGTAGTCCCGGACGACCAGCCTCTAATGTAGATTTACAAGAAGCACGTGATTACGTGACAATATTGGCATAGTTCCGGCAAACTATGACTGCAATTCAACAGTGATATGTTGCAGAGCGCTAGAGTTACTGTCACGATAGGCCGTTTGAGTTTTGCTAACTATCATTTAATTGCGATCTTATTCAATATAATTTAGACACATCACTAAGTATTATCTTACATCTAAATTGTGTAGCGTCATAGTGTCAACATTCTTTAATGTTATCCTATTTGTCTTGACTTTAAGGCATTCATGAATAAAAATATCTATATTTGATCTATATCAATGCATAGATAAAACTAACAGGAATAACACTTTACAATTCCATATCTCTAGGTTGTTAAGATAATAAACGTTAGGAATTAGATCGATTTTTAGAATGGGTTATTTATGTATATATATGTATATCAAAATGCAGGGGAAAATGTTGATAGATGGATGGTGGCGTTCGCCATCAGGTGCTTGATATCATCCGAGGTTGCATAGAACAAAAGGCAGAGTTTTAATAAACACTAACTAACATTAAATGAAATTGAGGTTTACGCCCTACTTGCTGTTAATAATTCGACCAATAAAGATGGACAACACCATACAATCTTGTAAATTTCACTAGGAAAGTGGAATTAACTTTTTTTCTCGTTTTTTCTTTTTTGATTTCAATCAATCTAGGAGATCTTATATAAACACAATCTTCATCAGTCGATAACCTTGTTTTTGTCACTCAATTCAGAGAGAGTGCATTGGGACTTGAAAAATAATATACCGATTAAAGGGATTGTAAAGAGGTTATCTAAATTCGTCATTTGTTTCGGGGACACACTTGCGCGATTCCAATTTTCAGTGAGACGTCTGTGATTTCTGCAATTCCACAAAAAGTAGTGTATGATGATCACTAATTGCAAAATATGCTTTATCACAATATGATTTATTCCTTGATAATCCAAAACATCTGACTATTCCAGCCCATGTTAGATATTTTGACAGTTATCGGCTATTTATGATAATTTTCCACGCCTCTGAAGATGCTTTTTTTCTAATATAATATCAAATTAACTTTACGGTGATTGTAAATTAGTGTTGGGAATCACCGTAACTTTCGTTTTGTTATAGTATAACGTGACACTTTTGGCTGCGCACGAAGTTTTGAATTGTCGACGAGAAATTAGTTTCGTTACAAAAAAATTCGATGAAACTGCAGATGTAGTAGGAGGGTAATGATGGTATGACTGAACTACAAACTGCATCTTTCCGAATATATCTGGATTTGGCGGACCTTGGAAGGTGCGGAAAAAATCCATAAAATAGGGCCTAGTTTTTCCGTCTCTCACCAACCGACATCTTTCAAAATAGCAACCAGAGTCAGGAATAGAGGCAGATGGTTCGATTTAATTACTAGACTGACTAAAAACAAAACCATAAAAACAATCTAACGGTCTCAGAAAACCGTACATTGAGCCGCCCATATAAGCCCGTAAATAAGAAGAATTATTTTTTTGTTATTTTGCCAATGTTCCACGCTGAATTTCATCGAAAATCAAAATAGTCTTAATTTTAACAAAACGTTCGATTGTTTAAATTCTAAACATTCTAGAGGGCACATTTCTTGGAAGATGTTTATGAATAGTAATTATCATAAAAAGATATTATTAAT